AAGACTCCACTCAATGTATCATGTTGCTGATGCTTGTCTGTATGCAGAACTACACAGGAAGAGTTCCAGGGAAATTACAGAGAGGGAAATCATCCTGAAAATCTGGGGTGGTGTCCCATACCTAATCCCAGCACTCCAGGAGGCTGAAGCACTAAGCTCACAAGTCTGAGTTCAGCTTAATGACACCCTGCCTCAAAAAGTAAAGAAAGGGCAGGGGATGCAGCTCTGTGCAAAGTTCCTCGATTCATTCCTCAGTAGTGACAAAAGAAAACACCCAAAAGCTCTCCTGTGCTCAAAAATATTTGGCCTACCCTGGTCCTTCGACCTTGACCAGGGCCCAAGGGGGGAGGGGAGTCCTTTGCGGGACCCAGAAAAGCTTGTTGTTATGCTTGAGCCCCTTCCTGTCATGCCCTGGATTGGTGGTATCTTCTCACAGAAAGTGCGGGGTGCACAGGGTGGAGGGGAAGGCGAGAGGCAAGAGACCACAGAGCAGCCAGAGCCCCGCACCCTCACAAGGCCAAGAGCCTGGTGGCACCGGCTCCCAATGGCCGGCCAAGCAGCGAGCGGCCAAGGCAGTCACCGCCCCATTGCAGAGCTTTGTGCTGCTGTCTGAAGAATGAGCAGCACCTCTGAACCAGGCAAGGAGAGCCCTTGCCTGGCCTGCACCAAACCAGGAAAATCCCAGCTCCTCCCAAGGGCCATCCCAAAGCAGGAGTGGCCTCCTGCACCCTCCTGCTACTTTGCAGGCAGGGCAGAGGGGTCTTGCAACCTGGTCCTAGCAGCTTCCAGCTAGCTAAAAGGCCCAGCCAGACACGGGAGACCTGAGGTGGATCCTAGGACCTCACCCTGGAACATGTTACAGATTCTGAGCCCAGCCCAACTCCTGGCCTGGGAGACTTGCCTGGCAGGGTGCTACAAAACATCCCCCACCTGCAACCCCCATCCTCAGGGGCCTCTGAGTAGTTGATGCAGGCGCCCTGCTGGATCTCCCAGAACCCTGGGCAGTGTTGCACACTGCTCCCCCTCATCCACACCTCCCCCTCCATCCTCACGCAGCAGATGCTGCTGAGAAAACTGAAGTGATGGAAGAGACTTCCACAGTACCTGCCACCCACCGGCATCTGGGAACCACGTCAGATGGACGTGCATGCCACGCTCTGGGGCCAGACCTCCACCCTCACCTGCCCGAGGAGGATGCTGCAGCTCCCTCAGCCCTACAGGATCACTTTTATTGTGCCCACATATCAGCCCTCCAATTTACAGACATGCTGTGGTCATTCTGAACTAAGGTGTTTTCTTGATCCTGGTGCTCTTGCCAGTAGTCCCAGGCTGCTTCTCTCCTCCCTGCGCCGTGAAGCCCCTGCTGTGTGCTGTCTGCTCTGCTGGCAGCTCACTCCACCAGGCTCAACTGCATGGTCAGGCCCCAGCTGAAGCAGCGCATCCCCCCTTTTCACCAGTGTGCGCACGGGTCTGTCTTCTCCCTGCATGTCCACGCCATATGGCCTGTGGCTCTTGCTCCAGCTCTCTATGCTCACACCGTTGGCACCTCATGTTCTTTCAAGGATCTCAGTATGGTGGATGCACAGACAACACCAAGGCGCCATGCTCCGCCCGGCCCACGGTAACAGCCATCTCAGCTCACCAAGTGGAGGGAGGCACCCAGGTTTTCCCGCCTGCCCTCTCCCACCCACAGTCTTCCACACCTCACCTCTGGGTAGCTCCTCCTACTGATGCCTCAGGTCAAAGTCCTTTACTGGAAAAAGAAAAGGAGAAACTCCAAATAAGAACTGAAGATAAACCTGAAGTCCTTCAGAAGGTAAGCAAAAAGACAATGAGGCATACAATAGAAGAAACCTGGGATTATAGTCAGATGCTGAACAGGTAAATAATAGGTGTTAAAGAAAGAGACCAGGATATCAGAGAGGGGAGGATCATTAAAGAAATAATTCAAGAAAACATTTTAGAGCTGGAAGGCAGTTTACACAAAGACCATTATAAGACTGAAGACAGTACCGGCCCTCTAAGAACCTGGGATAGGCACATTATCATGTCAGGTGGAAAAACAATCCTACAACTTGTGTGTCAGCCAACTCTGCCACCAAAATTATCCCAGCACAGCAGCCCAAAGGAGCGAGGTGTGTTTAGGCTCACCGGTTCTGTCCACAGCTGACAGGTCCCATTGGCATGGGGTGGGAGAAGGGGAGTGAGAAGCGCTCGCCGGCTTTCTTGTACTCTCCTTCCATCCAGGCCACTTCTGGGCACCACCCACATTCAGGGAGAGCCCCCCAGCACACGCCAACCCTCGGGAAACCCTCAGAGACTCACTCCGAGGTGTAGCTCAGTGTTCTCCTAGGCATGCTTCAATCAAAGCACGACAAATCATCACACCACAGTATTCTATACAGAGGAGAAAGAAGCATGAAGCCTGTGAAACCTCAGACTCACAGTAGAAAAGGCATTTCCTGTGTAGGATTCTAAACAGTCAAGCTACGATGAGGTGCTAGGGTAGAGTGAAGACATCTTTCCCGCACACAGGTTGCAAGCCATCTCCCTCCACCACAAGGAGCTGAGCAGCCCTCCTGCTCTCTAGGCAGCCTCTGGGGGAGCTCAGGGGTATGGGTGGGAGAGGTCTACAAGTTCTTTGTCAGGAGACAAAGGTGAGCGTAAAGTGGTAACTTCTCTACAATCCCTGTGGGAAAGGGTGAGCCTGGGAGAACCCAGGACTGTGACCTTCTGCTGGGCCTGGTGTATTCTGCAGCCAGCACTTTGCCGGCTGGGCTGGGCTGGGCTGGGAGCCTGCATTGTGCAACCTGACCCTGTGAGAGGCATGAAAGTGGGAGGTAGCAGAGAACCTGCATCATCCCAAGGAGGAATGAAGCAAAGCAAAAGCCAGAGTGCTGAGCCTTCAGCCTCTCCAAGTTCTAGGTTTTGAGAAAGCTTGAAATCACGGGTTCTGATGAAAGGGTGCACACACACGCGCACACACACACACATGCCTGTGGCTCCAGGCTGTGGCGAGGATGGGATCCGGAGGTTGGACACACTGGGTTTTCATGCTAGCCCCTTGGCAAGGAGCCTGTTGTCCACCTGAATGTACCCACATCTCCAGCCCTGCCAGGACAAGCACTTACCCCACACCCAAGTGTGGTAGATCCCATACCTATCCTTATTTTCAGAAAGGAACCTAGGCTCTGGAGACCACTGAGGTTCTCACAGGAAGTGGCAGGGCAGAGAGGCACAGCACCAGTACAACAGCACCTCCATGCCTGCATCACACAGCTGGGCTGTCCAATGAAGTATTTATTTACCTCCTCTGGAGGCCACCTGCTCCTTAGGACAGAGACCACTGTCAGCCCAGGCCCAGAGGGTGCAACACAGTGTGGCTGGGCCAGCATCACTGGCCCTTGGTCCTCTTCCTCCCCTTCCACCCAGGGACACACGTGCTGCACTGGAAAACAGATGCAGGATGATTCTTCTCCTTCCTGCTTCCTGCATTAAGGGTTCAGGTTCCCCCAACCCTTTGGAGATAGAGCTGCGAGAGGAGGTGACATTTGCAGTGCAACTTGTGTTCATCTCAGCACAGCCATCTGTGCCCACCAGGGCTTCAGTGGGCCCCACTGGACCATGAAGGAGCCCACAGCCTTGGGCTTGTCAGGAGAGGCAGTGAACAGAGCACACCAGGACCGCCACTCCCCAAACCCCAGCACCCACGAATGTGACGCAGAGAAGCTGTTAGGTCTGGAGAACAGATCTACTTGGAACTCACTGCTGCTCTCCTCAGCACACTCTGGTGCGAGGAGTTAGGGATGTACAGCCAGCATCCTCCATTGGTGTTGGGGCCCCTGCTCCCCGCTTTGAAGTCCAGCTTACAATGTTTATTCTTTACCTCAACACCTGACAACGTATTTTATGAGTGACTTAACTGAAGCTCTGATAAAAGCCAGGAAGCCTGTATCCAGATAAAGATGCTCATATGTATGTAAAATTCTGCATAGTATCGGGCAGGCTCTTAGCTTCCCAAGCATACCCACCACACACCCAGATTTTCACTGGACTTGAGGTGCATGAAAGCAGAGTTCTGGACTAGGGAGATAGCTGGGCAGTCTAAGTACCTGCTTGGCAAGCACAAGGACCCAGGTTCAGTCCCTGGTACTGCACGCTGTGCTGTGCTGGCCACTGGAACTGGATGTGATGGCATACACCTGTAATCCCAGCACTGGGGAGGCTGAGACAGGAGGATCACTGAGTCTGAGCTATATAGCGAGACCCTGTATCAAATAAATAAATAGATAGATAGATAGAGTCCTTAGGGGCTACAGAGAGGAACCAAGGAGGGAGTATATGAAGATTTAGAAAAACATTTTAGGGAATTTGGGCTTTAAACTTAAGATAGCCTAGTTTTTGAATTTAGCAAGTGAAGCAGTAGAGATGAACCTGCCTTGCTAACATAAAGGTGTTCCCAGTGACAGCAAACAGTTGTAGAGCAGGCTGTAGAGAGCTAAGACGACTGAGGCCGAAGAAGGGCCCTGTGAGGGTCCTGCTTTGTGCACTGACCAGGTGCCAGGGCCCCTTTTGGTTCCAGGGGCTTGCTTCTGCATCGGCACATGGGGCAGAGCACTGATGCAATTCAGAACTGTCTGAACACTGCAAGAACCGCCTGGGTCTTTATCTGACTGGCCCCAGCACCAGCTGCAGACCTGGGCAGGCCTGCCACTGTCTCACACCCAAGAAAGTGGCAATGACGTCATCTGCCTCCCTGCACTGTTGAGAAGGAAAGGCTGCCACGTAATTCAAGCTCCACACCTGTGGCTGCTACTTGTTCATCCAGGTTACAGAAGGTCTAGCTGGAGTCGAAGGCAAGAGCGTAGGCAAAGTCAGATATCAGAGCATGAACGACAGCCATATTTTCACACGAAGAACCAAATTCTCAAATAGGGACCAGTGCTCTAACCCATATCACTGCCCAAAACAGACAAGAGCAAATGAAGATTCCACAGCCATCACCACAAAACTGTTTTTTACTAACAAACCCAAAGAATCCCAAACACTTTTTGTGGATATCAACTTCTTTCCATCAGATTTTAAAATGGTATTGTGCATGTATACATTTTAAAATTTTAGACACATTTTGGAGAACACAGTTGTGGACACAAACAAGTCCAATAAATGGAACGAGATGTTTTGAAATCTGATCTTGAATATTTAGAATGGTTAAACAGATGTCTGTAAATCCCCCATCCTAGATGGTGTGTGCATTTCTCCTCTGCTTGTAGGAACTGAGAGCCAGCCCTTCACACAGCATCCTACATAGCACACAAGGGGAAGCAGGTCCACAGAGAACCACAGAGCTGCACATCCACCAGCATCTATTGGGTAGGAGCAAGGTGCCAACCCCACAGGCTTTAAAAACCCTGAAACTAAGGTCTCCTCCATTTGCTTCACAAGTATCTTATCTTTCCCTTAGCACATTGACTAGAAGGATAAGCAGTCATTTTCAGACATGCACAGGAGCAAGTGCACCTGGGCAGACGCAGGTAACTAAGAGTCACTGTGGCTGGAATCAGGGTATCCCCGGTGGCCTCCTGCAAGATGACTGAGAGCCCAGGGATTCTGTGAGCCCCACACTCTATCTCCCAGATAGGAGGTAGGCAGGCCTCCGTGGCAAGCCCTGCTGTGTCCTTCTTTGATGGCATGGGTGGAAGGGAAGGAACCATGCTGCTAGAGGAGACTTGGTAGTACGTGAGGTTCTCTAAAACATTCCCGTCAACTACTTGAGGGCACGGACTCCTCTGAAAAGCCATCAGCAGGCAGGAATTCACAAAATGCTTTATCATGAGGACTGAAGCACCAAGCTAACACAGAAGAAACTAATCATGACTTAGAAACAGGGCTGTCTGCAAGGAGGAGACTCAAGGGCATCCCTCAGGAACTGAAGGTCACACGTCTAGGGTGCCAGACATAGGATTCAGCAATGCCCGGAAAACACACGTGCATAAAGGTGACTGGTCTTCACAATGGATATTCTTTCTTTCTTTCTATAAAGACTGAAAACCAGGACCAATGAGCCCCTAAATGCCCCCTGTAGACAAGGACCAGGCCACTCCAAGTCCTGTCTTCTGTAATTCGTACCTTACCTCGCACAGGAGTCTTAGAAAGTCCTCGGCCTGATGACAAAAGCTCTTCTAGAATTCTATATGACAGAATTACTAAAGGCAGGGGGCATTAATCCAAATTAATATCCCTTTAAGGAAATGTCACGCAGATAACACTGTAATTTCCTATTAGGAATGTATCCACCCCAAATTTAGACTTAGGACAATTTTCAACTAGCTCTATGTACTTACAACTCAGCTTATTTCAAACGTTTGACAATCACCCATTTCCAATTTATCCACTGTCCCTATAATAATTAAGTCACCATTTGGTACAACTGGGATGGAAGCCATCGTAATAATACATGCCTGGGCAAATGCTCTAGCCTTACCAGTGCTCAGTCCCTGCTATTCACCATGTGGTCAGTAAACATCGCTCATGGCATCGTGATGTTCACCACCAGGCTGTCCTGGTCCTCAAGGAGCCCCGCTGACCTCAGGTGAGGGTCATGAAACAGTCCCTGCAACCCCTCCTACTTCTCGACAGCCCCAGGCCAGCCCAACACATGGACTGGGGTGGCTCTGACTGTGCTTTCCCAAATGTCCCAGCAGATTCCCTCCTGCCTACTGTTCCTGTTCAGTGTTTGCAGTGGTGGGTTTTTTTTGGCATTCTTCAGAAAGGCACCCGTGGAAAATGCCAAGACCTCAATGGGAGGCCACCCTTGATGACCTTTCTAACATACAGGAGACCTCCTAACAGTTCTTGCCTGTCCACAGAGACGATACCCTTACGCATTAGATACAGAAAGCGGCCGCCAATGGAACCTGTGCAAGCCAAGCACTGCACGCATGAAGAGAACAGCTCACACCTGCGGACACCACCAGGGAACATGCAAGCACTACAGGAAATGGATATGAAGAAATCGTATTTCACACACTGAGGGCACACTGTCACAAATGCTGAGGGGATGGCTTCTGTCACTCATGCTCTAACTTGAGGGTTTCTGCAACACAGAAGGTGAGAAGCAGAAGGTGTCTGCTTCTTTTCTTTCAGGATTCAGAGTTGGTTGTGTCAGGCACTGAGCAATCTGGAGGCTTTTGGTCCAACAGGTATTTTAGTTGTCTTATTGCACCTTTTTAATCTCTCTGGGCAGAGCCAAGTTCAAATGCTGGGAACCGTGACGTCTCTGGCACGAGGACATCGGAGAGAAAGTGAATAGCTCCAGCCATGCCTGCAAAGCAAGAGCGCAGCTTTAGGGTGGCTCCTGGGCAGTATCTGACACAGGGACTTCTGGTGTCTCAGGGCCCTGCATTTTCATGTCTAGACTCAAGCCTAACAGGAACTTAATACATTAGAAGTATTTAGGAATAAGTAATTATAAAACTATAATAATAGCTAATGTTGAAAGTTCAGAAAAGCACAGTAACAGATCATCTGTACAAACAACAGCAACTGATGGGCTGCTGCATGTGTGACAGACAGACTATAATTCAGGAAAACAAGTCCAACAGAAGGACTGAAATGTTTTTATATCTCTGTGTGTGCTTGTGTATAGATGGACTCACTTGTCAACCACAGTTATCAAGGCAGGAGCTAACTAGCAGTTTAAATGTTTGGTAAAACCTTTTGGGACTGGAGATTTCTTTCTGTCAGCCTCATGCAGTCACAGGGTGCTCTTCAGCAGCGGCTGCATCTGGAGTATGTGACGCTGGTATTACTCAACTAGCCCACTAGTGAGTTTGAAACAGTTCTGGTTAGGATTAAGGGCTCAAGTGCTATACCTACCTTAAAGCAGGTAGCCTGCCCACAATATAATGAGCAGATAGAAGCTTGTCCCTCCCTCCCTTACTGATTTTGCTACCTTCTTTTTGCCATGAACTGTTCTCTGCAAAGCCACCCTGCCCCTGGAGCCAGCAGGACTGAAACCTCTACCAACTGTGAACTATATAAACCTTTTCTTCCTTCACTTGTGTTAGGTATTTTGCCCTGGCAATGTGCAAATTAACTAAGACATTTCCATATAATTTAATGGTTTATTAATTATTTTTTTTTTCCAGGACTGGGGATTGAACTCAGGCCCTTGCGCTTGCCAGACCAGCGTTTATTCTACTGAGCCACCTCCCCAGCCCCTAATGATGTATTTTAAAGAACTACCCAGCTTGCTGTGAGCCCATCCATGTTAGACCCTATGACAAGGGAAATGGGGGGAGCAAGCTTGCCTCCCTTCACTGATCAGCAGGCCTTTCCCACCTTTCCCACTGTCCACAAACCTTTCACAGGTACTAAGGACACTGGAGGAACTGGCAGGACAGAGAAAGGGCATGGTGAAGACATTCAGCATTGTTTTCAGCAATACCCTGTCCTACCCATGGTCACTGTGGCTTTGAAGTTATTACTCAGGCAGGACCAAAGGCACCAGTGTGGAGCCCCAGGGAGGAGAGAGTCCATCCACTCAGCAAATGCTGACAGCCTACCTTCAAAGAGGGAGTAGGGCCTGTCGGGGATGCGGCACCCATGCGCTCCATAGTCCAGACACCACTCTGCAAACTGACAGGAAAGACAGCCTTGTAAGAACAGCACTCTGGATGGATAGCACTGCAGGGAGCTCACAGGAACTGGAGCCAGAGGCACGCAAGAGGCGAGTGGGGAGCAGGGCTGTGCTGGGCTGAGCTGCACAGTTGTCTGTCCTGTGGCCAGCCCCGTGAGGTACAGCTCTGCTTCTCCCTTGCAGCTGCAGAGAAGTCTGAGGTCGAAGCCCTCACCCAGCCACAGCCCACCCTCCAGGACCTGCCCCTCCCTCCCCCTTTTCATCTGGAAGAAATCTGTATGAAAGCAGCCTTCTTCTCTGCCTTCAGTGGGCAGCTCGCAGCCTGGGAGCACTCAGTGTATGCTGGAAAACAACCCCTGCTCTGGCTTCTCTGCCCCAGCTTAACGCTGGCCCCATGAACCTCCACCCCCAGAGCTTGTCTTGTAGCAGCCAGCTTGGCCCTTCTGCCTCTTCAGCGGTGTCTTCTGTATTATTATAATAGACCTCCTTTTTTTGCTTTAAGCTAACCTAATTTGACAACTTGTGTATTAATCCTAAGTGTTAAATTCAATGAAGATAAAATTCAGAACAGGTAACAAACTTATTTTGCTTTTTACCTTCCAAATCTACTTACTTTTTTAGCCTGTTTGAAGCTTGTTTTACACTGTCTACCTGGGTTTCCCATGGAAACACTGAGGTGCTTGCTTTTTCCACATTAAAACAAAACAACTGCACTAAGTTCTGTGGGTCCCACATTCAACATGTGTCTAGGTCTCCTTTTCTCATCACAGGATGTGCTCTGGTACACACAAGGGTTCTCTACTCATGATCAGTGGGGGAGCTCCAAGCCCTGACTCATCTTTCCATCATTATCCCTGGTAACCTTTCTAAAAGAAGGGATCCTAACTCCTAATTAACACTGATAGCCAAGTATTAAAGTTACCCGAGGGCTTGAAAGATACTGGTACATGGACTTCTTCCTTTACTTGATCTGGGCAAGGGGCAAAACCAGGTCTGAGAATGGCTCACCTACAGACCAGGCCCCTCCCACCATCTGCCCCTCACCAACACAGGTCTAGGCACTCAACCTGCTGCTTATCAACAGAGGACCACTCACTGTGGCATCACACAGCACTGGATTTGGCCTTCTAAGGACACAAGGTGCTGCTTCATATTCTAGCTTAGTGTGAGCCCTCCTCCCCACCACCCAGACCACCATTTTCTTACCCATCTGTGAAACTCCATCTTTGAAGAAACAGTGGCATCTCAAGCCCTCCTGACATCCATGTACATTCTCCCTGTAGCTTTTCACCTCCTGCTATAACTATCATCAGGGCTGCTGAAGCCTGGAGGATCCGGCTGCTTCCCACCTGTGCCTCAACCCACACCCTCGCTACCACGCACGTCCTGCAGTACCCTGGTACTCCACATTTCCAGCCTGTGGATCTGTAGTTTGCTTTCCTTTTAGCATCCTTTAGACTAACTTCCAGCCAACCTTCAGGTCTTGGCCTGGATGCCACTTTCTGCCTTCCCAGGACTGAGCTGTGCTCTGCCCCCTTGATGGCTCCCACAGCATCCTGTGGTCTCCCACATGTGGGCCCCATGGACATCTGTACACTGCGAAGCCACAGAGGGTCAGAGTGAAGCACGTGGTGCTATGAGACGTCCACTGTCCAGAGGGAAGTGTGCAGAGCACACAGTCACTGTGTGTGCTCTGGTAACTCTGCTTCACCTCTCCTGTGTGTGTGATGGCGTGAGAGCTGTGCACGGCCATAACATGCACAAGTGCCTGATGCGTCCTGCTTTGTGCCATTGTCCACATGTTCAGAGGAGAGTCATGAATTTCTCCTGGGTGTCACTATTCTTGGTCCTGATGCAGGGCAGTTACCCAGGCTAATGGGACATGGAGCTTACATTGCACTGGTGTGACATGCTCAATAACCAGGAGAAATACACATGATAGCTGTGCATGCTCCTTCAGCCGGGAGTCTCAAGGCCTACAGACCTCCCTACACTGACAGGGGAAAGCCCGGGGCCACTGTGCAGGCTTTGGGGGTAAAGCCTCCCCAGTCAGGGCTAAGAGTCAAGGGCACAAGCATGGTCCCTCCATCCTCCAGGAGATCTGGCCAGGCGGAGTGGGGCCAGGAGGCATGCACGGGACATGGGGAGAGTGCAGGCATGAGGTGCTGTGCACCTGAGGAGTGTGGCTGTGGCTTGCAGTACGCTCTGAGCAGGGACAACTGGCATCATGTGCCTATGGTCCCGATGGTCCTCGAAACACCTTGGCAGATGGAGAATATTTTTCCCATTGTTACAAATAAAGACAAGGAGCTGACACAATGTGACTGTACCTAGGCAATGCGACTGCAGAACACACCGAGGAGCTGTCTGCATGTGTCACCCTGTGCTGTGGACAAGATACCACAGCACTGTGGAGCCCAGGACAAAGCTGTGCAGCAGAAGCCACCTCACAGAAGAGCCAAATGGAGACCGAGGAGAAGGGTCATGGTGGGGGCCTTCTCACCTTGCAGGCTCGGTACAGGTACTTCTTGTCCTGTGTGAGGTGGTAAAGGGACAGGAACGAGTAGCCATTGCCAGCAGTGCCGTGGCAGATACCATAACCCTTCCGGAGAAGACCTCGCTGCCAAATCACATCGCTGCACTCCATGGCCTCTTTCAGGTACTTCTCCTCCTTAAACACCTGGAAAGTGACAACCAAGGCAATGTTAACAAGAGGCTAACAGTTACCAGAATGCCCCACATGAGGCTTTACAGTACTCTTCTGTTTTATAGCACGGGGAGGCTGAGGTGGGAGGCTCCTTGGGGGAGTCCTGCCTGGTCAGCTCCGTAACTCGAAGAACTTCTCTGCGTCTAAAACAAGGGGCTGCAGAAACATTTCAGCGTGAAGTCCCTGGTTCAACCCCAGTACACCAAAAACCAAGCAAACCAAAACTTCCTCTTTCTGGTTAGAAAATTATACATTAGGAAAACAAAAATGCCATTCAGGAAAAAAAAAAAGTTAAAAATTAAAAATCACAACATGACACATAGCCTCTTACAAGGTCAAACTATTTCTTTTGCCTTCCAATTCATAGTTCTGCAGAAATAATTCTAAAATGTAGCTTTAAAAATTAATACTGAACTGGGCATGGTGGTAATAACTGATCCCAGCACTAGAGGGGCTCAGGCAGGAAGATCACCATGAGTTCAAGGTCAGCCTGGACGACATAGTGAGACCTTGGCTCAAAAAACTAACAAACAAAAAAAAATCTTAATATTAAGTAGCACATTTTGCAAGTGGGAAGGGGACTAATGGAGATGTGCTATGTTCACTCATCGGCTCCTGGAGGGAGCGTGAGTGCTGTACTGCAATGTGGGCTAAAAAAACCTTTAATTTATAAACAACTAAAGTGGCTCCTTTCCTTGTCAGACACTTCACCACAGACCACAGCACTGTTCTTGGGACACACATGCTGCAGTCACGAGTCCCCTCGGTGAGGGCAGCTGAGCCATTGATGCCCAGCACCCACCCTGGCTCCGCCTGTGTGTCTGTGAGAGCTGCAGAGCCCACACCGTGGGCCTGAGATAGTGCTCACACAGTGGGACACAGAATGGCTGTGGTCTCAGAGCAGCAGCTGGTGGCAGATTCAAAGCAGTTCCCACAGCACTTCTGTGGCCCGCTGCAGAGAGGTGGACAGCAGAGGGGGCCAGAGGAAGCTGTTCTCACTGGCTCAGCTGGTCCCCTGGTATCCCTGAGGACTGAACCCAAGACTTCGGCACTGAGCTGCATCCCCAGCTCTTTTAGCTTTTATTTTTAGAAAAGGTCTCTCTAAAGCACTGTGCTACCCAGCCTGGGCTTGAATCCTCTTGTCTGCCTCCCAGAGTGCTGAGGTTACAGCTGTGCACCACTACTCCAGGCTTAGGCTCCAGCCTCTCTCCTACAATTCCCCTCTTTCTTCCCACACTCTATAACTGCTCCCTGGCCCTTCTCTGGCATCTGTCATTCATACTGTCCTGCCTCAGCCAGGCTGCTCCAGTTCATGTGAGCTGCACAGTGTCAAGAAGCAGAGGCCACAGCTAGGTGGGCCCACTCTGCGATCCTGAGCAGTGACCTCCTCGGCACCAGGCTGAGAAGGGTTCTGAGACTGTAGGTATAGAAGGGGAAACAGAGGCAGCATGACTAACCCCCAGGCTTCTGGGATCGGAAGCAAAGCCCCTTCTCTCCATATAAAAGCAGCCAAAAGGTGGGCTCTGGGGTCAGATGGGCCAAGCCTGTGTCTCAGCTCTTACCTGTGCGACCTTGGACAACCACGCAAGCCCCTTAGTTTTCTCAGCTATGAAAGGATGACATGGCCTGCTGTGAGCAGGTCTGCTGTGAGGATGCGGTGAGATAATGTGCTGGCTGTTCAGCACAGGGCGTGGCACACCACAGGTGCAGACCACTGCCAAGCTCCACCAATCAGTATCTTCCTGTGTCACACTGCTAGCATGAATGCCTACTCTTGTCAGTGGTCCATTAAGCTTCTTCAAATGAGTTATAAAACAAAACACTCTTATCCACCTTAAAGAAACAATCAGGCAAAACAGCAGGTGAAAAGCCACTGTCTTTGGCTGTGTCCTGAAGTCCCACAAGGAGCAGGTCAGCTCCAAAGCAAACCCCATTTGCTCCTTGCTGGCACTCCCGGAGAATTTGATGGGAAGGGAGCCCCTCCGGCTCCCCTGGTAAGAGGTGGTTGAGGATGGCCCCATAATGTCACTTCAGTTTCTGGGCATCAGCAGCACCCTTTCTTGCCCTGTCACATTCATGCTTTATGAGAAAAGCTACTTTTATCACGCACGTATTTGAGGGTCTAAGAACCACAGAAAATGTTTCCAGAGTCAGGCACAGATCATCCCCTTCATGTTACAGCAATCACAACTTGTCCAGAAAGTGCACTCACTTACCTACGCCCCTTTTCCAAGCTGGTAACTTTCCCTAAGTAGTCTCAGGACAGAAGGTATGGGGAGACAGATGCAAAGGAAGTCCTAAGGGGCCTGGGGTTGGAAGACGTGGGTTACAGCCCTTCTTCTACAACCTCAGTCAACTCATGAGCTCTCTGACAGTAAGACCTTAGCCCACAAATCTGTTTGCTCATGTTATAACATAGACCGATGCTGAGATAAGCCCAATGTGGAACAAATGACACGGGTTTTAGGTAGCAGTAAGAGATGTCTTTAAGGATGGAAAGGAAACTCACCACCAATGGACAGTTGTGCCTTCCATCTAGATGTTCAACTCAGCTCAGCAGGCTGAGTGCCTGCCTGGCAAGCACAAGGACCTGAGTTCTACCCCTGGTACCACATGCTGCACCAGCTCTAGAACCCCAGGTGTGCTGAAATCGGGCGTGGTGGCACACCCCAGCACTAGGGAGGCTGAGACAGGAGGATCACTACGAGTCTGAACTGTGTAGTGAGATCCTTCATCAAATAAATTAAAATTAAAAATAAGTAATAAAAAAAGAAAATCAAATTGTTGCCAAAATCAAAAAGATCATTAACAACTGCTTTGCAAACCTACATGTCAATAAACTGGAGAATTCAGGAGAAACAGATAAATTCCTAGATATATATGAACTACCAAAACTGAAACAAGATGACTTAAAATGCAAGAATAATCCAGTAAAAGGCAATGAAATTGAAGCAATAATAATAATAATAATAATAAACTACCAGGAAAAGCCCAGGTTCAGATGGATTCACTAAGGAGTGCTAAAACACTTCCAATAATTCCCAAGCTCTTTAATGAAACTGACAGGGAAAGAGGACTCCCACCTGGAAGCTACCCTGATTCTAAAACCAAACAAGGATGCAATCAAGAGAAGGATAGGCCAATCTCTTTAATGAATATAGATGTATCAATCCACAACAAGACACTGGCAAACAGAATGCAACAAATCACCAAAAAAGATCATACCTAAACATGAGTAGCATCTGCAGGAGGGAAATTTTGTGAATCTGGACTCAAATTAAGTTTCATTTATGATATATATTAATATTTTTCAAATACTTGAAAACTTTATTTCCCATTCATCATACCTGAAGAACTTCTGATTTTATATGCAAGACAAGAAGCTGTTAAAGCTTGTTACATAAACACTGTAAACATTTCCTAGTCAATTTTAAGACACAGCTCTTGGGAAATGCACATTCTTAACTTAAGTAACTGCAACTTGCGAGAAAGCAGCTGCAGCTGTGCTGTCTCCCCAGCCGCTCCCTCCTGGGCCACACTCAGGGAAGCCTTCCACTCACACGTCTGGCTCACGGCATGTGTGCCAACAGGAAGGTGCAGGCTGGACTTACTACCTGTAGCACATGCTGCGACGACATGGACAACTAGATTATTTACACTTTGCAAAGTACCGCTGACGCCTTTCTGACCCCAGAAGATTCTGATAATCTCTTCCTCACATTCAACAGTCTCACTGTAGAGGACAAAACCAGATTTGAATCACTAAGTATGGGCTCTTAACAGCTCTGGCTCCTGCTTTCCAAACAGCTGAGGTTTCTGTTCTAGAATCAGTGAGCAAGGCGAGGTGTTCACACGGGATCTGGGCAGAGAGCAGGCCTCTGCACAGCACAGTGATGCTTACCACCCGGTCACCGGTGGGGTGGGGACAGGCCAGTGGGAGTGGAGCTGCCCAGGGTGGGTATTAAGCAAAAAATAAAGATGCATTAAATGGAAACTAAAATGACAAAGCACTGTTTGTTTTCAACTTCCACTGAAAGCTCTTGAATGATTATAAGTATATCCAACAATAATGGCTTATTCATGTCAGAGTGTAAAATGGTGTGAAGACCACAGAACCCAAATGTGGTTGCAATGCTGGCATTCCTATCCCATCAGGTGTTTTCCTTTACATATGAATTCAAATGCCATGAAAGCACACTTGCAGCAGCAATCACAGTGACAAGGAACAAAATAAAGACTTCCCATTTATTTTGTAAAAACATCCATTCAAAAAGATTTTTAGGGTGCAACCAATCAGCTTCCCAAATCAAGCTGAAAGTGTGGAGGACTCCTGCGCAGGCAGATGTGAGCATGTGGGTGACCGTGGCTGAGGACTGACCTTATAGGCTTGCATGAGCATGTGGATGACTCCAGGGGCACCGTGGCACCAGTGCACCAAGCGATCTGTTTCATTGCTTAATGAAGAGGGATAATTTCCAGATCGGAATCTTTTGTGGCGCACATAATCGATACTGGGCTTCACCATTTCAGTCAAGGTTTCTTGGTCCACTTTTGCTGCTGGCTTTAAAGAAACAAAAACAAAACTTTTTTATATAGTTTCTTTTAAAAAACCTCACTGTATCATGGCTAATAAAGCATCAATTATCTAAATATGAGGAACATATGAAATTAGAATTCAATTACTTTTTTAAGATTTAGGCAGGCCACTTTTTAAACTAATTTTGAAATTTTTCAAAATTATATTAGTGCTATAATGTATCAAACATAGTTTGTTTTCTTTGATGAATCAGAATCAGCAATGTGGAGGAAAATCATCCTACAGAGTGGGGATGGAGATGTGGTTGAGTCTCAAGTGAAGCTAGAACTATGAAAGATTTTATTTTATTGTTCGGCTTTGTCTAAATACTGGCCCTTGATTTCTTCCTAGTGGCACTTAGCTCCTAAGAAGCCAAATATGCCCTTCTTCCCATATCTACTCACTGACTTTGCCACTGCAGGCCAATTATTTAACTTTCTTTTCTTGATAGGATAATCACAGTATTCAACTCCTGAGGTGCTCATGAGGAGTAACTGAGAAAAAAATGCATACTCCATTTCTTTACCCAATAATTGGTGTGTAATGAATAGCTATTACTTCCTGAAAGCACTCATTAACTGTTACCTATTCAAACTTAAATTATGTGCTAAAATTTTACTAGAGATTGTTGTGGCCAGGGTTTGCAAGGGAAATTTAATATAGGAAATGTTATTGATAGGACTATTTTATTTATTTTTATTATAATTTTATTAAGAAGTAGCAATGAGACAGTTTCAAAACAGGTTAGTAGGACAGTAATAATAATACATTGCATATTGTTGCCTTTGTAGTAGTTATTCATAGTACAAGATGCAGACATGACATCTTGTCTAAACAATATTAGTTCAAAACTTTCTTCTCATTGAACTGGGAAA